GGGATACCATCAAAAGGAATAATCTACATGTCATCGGAATTCCAGAACAGGAAGAGACAAATAAAACCACAGAAAAAATTGTCAAAGATTTGTTGGAAGGGAACTTCCCTGATATGATGAAAGATGAGAATATATCCATTCAGGAAGCCCAATGAACCCCAAACAGGATAGACCCCAAAAGAAAACCACCAAGACAGATCATCATCAAACTCACCAAAACCAAAGACAAAGACAGAATCCTGAAAGCAGCACAGAAAAAATGAAAAGTTACCTACAAGGGGCAAACAGTAAGACTAAGCTCTGATTTCTCAGCAGAAACCATGCAGGCTATAAGACAATGGAATAATATATATAAAACCCTGAAAGAAAAAAATTCCCAACCAAGAACTGTATAGCCAGCAAAATTGTCCCTCAAATATGATGGTGAAATGATAAGCAGAAATTAAGGGAATTTGTTAAAACCAGACCAACCTTACAAGAGATGCTAACAGGAGTCTTTTGGACAGAGTGCCAGCAACAACTGACCATTAACACACATGATGACATAACCCAGAAACCAATCCAGTTATGGAAGTATCCAAACTAAATAAACCTACAAGATTGTAAACAGGGAACCAGAGACATCAACTGATAAATGAGGACAACTAGAAACCAAAAAGAGAGAAAAAATTGTATAGTTACAGAACTTCTAAGTGGTGAGAAAGTCAAGACAACTGCAAGATAGAATGGACTGTTCTAAATTTGAGAAGAAAATTATAAATCACAGGGTAACCTGAAAGAAAAATTATAAACCTTCACATCAAAATAAAAAAGAGGACCAGCACAAATATTTAGCAAATACTAAAACAACAGCAATGAAGGAAGTGATAACATGATTCATAAACACAACAACCTCACAGAAAATAATATGGAACAAAGAAACTAGGGACACCATGAAAAAACACATAACAAAATGACAGCAACAAATTCAAACTTATCAATAATTACCCTGAATAATGTTAATGGATTAAATGCACCACTCAAGAGACGGAGAGTTGCAGACTGGATAAGGAAACAAAACTCATCAACATGCTGTCTACAAGAGACATACCTTGGAGACAAAGACAAAAATAGATTAAAAATCAAAGGTTGGAAAAAGATGTATCAAGCAAATGGCAACTATAAAAGAGCAGGAGTGGCAATATTAATTTCTGGTAAAATTGACTTTAAGACAAAAACTACCATAAGAGACAAGGAAGGACATTATATAATGATTAAAGGATCGATTGAACAAGAGGACATAATGATAATAAATATCTATGTGTCCAATGAAAGAGCCCCAAAATACATAGACCAGACTCTAACAGAACTGAAAAGACAAACAGATGACTACACAGTCATAGTAGGAGACTTTAATACACTGCTTTAAACTATGGTACATATATACAATGGAATACTATGCAACACTAAAGAATACTGTAGAATCTGCAAAACATGGATGAACTTGGAAGATATTATGCTGAGTAAAATAAGTCAATCACAGAAAGACAAATATAGTATTAGTTCATTATTGTAAAAAAATCAAGGAAAGGTTTCTATATGGAAGGAAACTTTCTTGGTTACCAAGGGTGGGAGGGGAGGAGAGGGAACACTGGGGGAAAAAAAAAAAAAAAAGGATTGACCCATGTCACTTTAGTTTTGGGTATTTCACTGTACGTAAATTATATTTCAATAAAACTTATTTTTCAAATAATAAAATTAGTTGGAAATAAAAAATTTTTTACATGAGAATAAAATGATCTGTTATAGGATTGGAAAATATGTATGTACATAATTTTATATATTAGAGTTCTACAAGGTTTAATATGAAAAAGGCAGTCCTTTGCCCCTGATCTTCATCAAATTAGGCTTATTTAATTGTGATGTTTAAATATTCCACATATTAAACGTTTTGGCTGTTTAATCTTACTTAGAAAGAGAAGTTAAAATCCTCTAGCTATGAGGGTTCCTGTAGCTCCCACTCATGAGTTGCAGCTTCTCTCCTTGGAGCCTATGGATCTCTGTGAAACTCAAGCCTCAAGAGTCCATTTAACGGTCTCTGAAGACACGGTCGTAAATGATAATATCCTCTCCTATTCTCTCCTTCATATTTAAATATGTAGGTTTGTTTCCTAGATGTGACTGGAATGATTTTCCAAATATACTACCATGGTCCACAGACCCGACTGCATTCCAGACCATTCCATACAGTTACATGTTGTTGTTGTTGTTATTGTTGTTAAATGCTGCTGAGTCAGTTCTGACTCACAGCGATCCAGGTACAACAGGACGAAACACTGCCTGGTCTTGTGCCATCCTCACAACCACTGCCACGCTTGAGCCCAATGGCTTGAGCCACTGTGTCAATCAATCCATCTTGTTGAGGGTCTTCCCCTTTTTTGGTGACCTGACTTTACCAAGCATGATATCCTTTTCCAGGGACTGGTCCCTTCTGACAATGCAACCAAAATATGAGAGATGACATCTGGTCATTCTCACTTCTAAGGAGCATTCCAGCTATAATTCCTCCAAGACAGATTTGTCCGTTCTTCTAGCAGTCCATGATACATTGATAATCTTTGCCAACACCACAATTCAAATGCATCAGTCCTTCTGAGAGAACAATTTCAAGGCCAGAGAGAAGCATGCCTGCAGTGTGGCTGAGAAGAATCCGTACTGACCGAAGAACTGTATCCCTAAGTTGCTCTGACCCTGAATTGTAACCAGTTCTATTCACTGCCATCGAGTTGATTCTGACTCATAGTGACCCTAAAAGACAGAGCAGAACTTCCCCATAGGGTTTTCAAGGCTGTAAACCTTTACAGAAAGAGATTGCCTCATCCTTTTCCTGTTGAGTAGCTGGTAGATGTGAACTGCCAACTTTCTGGTTAGCAGCCAAATGCTAATAAACCCCATAATTGTGAGTACTTTCTGTGAGTTCTGTGTGGCCACTGCAAAGGATTATCGAACCCAGTGGAGAAGCACAGAGTGGCAATTGGGAGGGATGGCTGGTGTCAGAATTGGTAGAAAGGTTGAAGGGTGGTGGCATATCTGACTTCTGCCTGGTAGGAATCAGCCTTGGGCTGCTGATGTTGTTCTGGATCCTCCTTCCCCCTCGTGAAGTTAGAGAAGGTCAGACGTTGCTTGCATGCCCTTTTTACAATGGTCTAACCTTTCCCAACTTCAGCTCCTCCTTACTCCAGAGTCTACCCCATAGGCTGGTACCAGAAGTCTTCCTGGAGCCCTGTTCTGCTGAGCAACCTTTAGGCTTTATATCTGCAGTCTAGCACAGTGTCTAGCTCATGTAGGAAATCAATGCACATTGATAGAAGAGGGACCAAATACAGTGACTGGCGGAGCTGCTCGATTTCATGACTTGGTTGTATTATCTACTACCATCAGGAGGAAATTTTCTTGACTTTAAATGAAAGTTATTTTACATAAAGCAGAGTTTAGAAATTAGCCTTAACAAACCATGTTTAAATGTTTGGTCAGTTCATGTATGTGAATACATATATATTTTTCTGTATTCTTTATTTCATAATAATTGCACAAGAATTCTGGTTGTATGCATTCTCCCTAGTGCTCACATTTTCTAAAGAATAAACCACAAATATGAAATAAGAAAGAAATACAAATAGCACATTGTTTTGTGAACAAATGCATGGACTCAAGAATCTAGAAAGAAAATCAAAGCAAAATAACTAGCAATCATAAATCACATTGGAAAAGCTAGTGCTGTCTAACTAGGAGGTTAGTGATTAACTTCACTTTGGACACTGATGGTGTCACTGAAACTTGGCTCAGGCTTCTGGTGAACTATGTGGTCATAATAAGAACTATAAAAGTTCCCACAGCCTTGGGTCCAATAATTCAACTGGAGAAACATATCTTAAGGAAATAGCTTAAAGAAAAACTAACTTCTACACTATTTGTATTAGTGACAACTAGGCTACGTTTCAAATTCCTCAAAAAAGATAATGACCCAGCTAACCATTTATCACTGTATACATCAACACAATATAAAATCCCTTAAAATGACAAGCATATGGCCAATTTCAATAAATGGAGATATATATATATATATATATATATATATTTGTTGTTGTTTTGTTGTTGTGTGTGTATATATATATATATACACACACACACACACACACACTTACTACTTTAACAGTAGTATTTGTCTTTACAAGGGCTCTAAGATAAGACGTTTCTGGGTTTGAATCCTGCCCTGACACCTGTACGCTTTCAAGAAGCATTTCTAGGAATGGATTTGGCCCATGCAGAGCCCGCAAATGGTTATTTACTCTTGAGGACGTGTGTGTGTTCTTATTTGAGTATGAAAAAGACATGGTTAGGAGAGCAGGCTCTTGTGCCAGACTGCCTGACTTCACATCTCAGCACTGTCATTTGCTGGCCATTTGACAACAGGCAAGTGACTTAACTTCCCAACATTCCAGTTTCTTCATCAGTAAAACATGGCTAATAATATGACTGATCCCATAAAGTTCTCATGATATTGAAATGAGTGTATGGCTGGTAGGAAGTTCTCAGTAAATGTCAGTCATTTGAACAAGTCCAAGTATTGCATCAGGTGGACCCACTTCCACATTTAATCCCTACAAGAACCTTACAAAGTGGGTGTTACTACAAAGATTAAGTAAAGAAATGAGCTCAGAGAGAGGTCAATGTATACTAGGCGAGAAAAGGAGAATGCAAGATGGCTGGTAAATCCCAACTACAATATGTAAAATGAAATACATTTACAAATTTGTAATAATATGCATAACTTCATGAATCTTAGGTCTACTTTCTTTAAAGTTAGTCAAGTTTCTTTGTTTTTGCAAGAAGAAGCAAACAGGTGTGAGTTAGGGATCGAGTCCATTATCTTTACTGACCCATGTCCCTCCCCGCAAGTAGGGCCTAGGCCATGTATTAAACGTCACTTGGGCACTGGCTTCTGACCAGCAAGTGCTTACCTGGAGGAGATAGAGGAGTCCTGGGACAAACAAGGTGAGTGGGTACAGAGACTGGTATGTTGCTAAGGCAAGAAAAATAGCACTGAGGAAGGCACTGCCTGTAAAAAGAAATAAATGTATGGAATAATCCAGCCTCATCAATCAGGATTAGACACAACGTGCCCCTATCAACAAGAAACTTTCCATAACTGCTCAAATAATCACCTGCCAAATGCCTCCTGGTGCACAAGACACTATGAAAACACACAGAGTGAAAGTTTCCTGGCATGAATTTTGATGAAAGGAAACCAAAGAAGTCAAAACCATCTCCCTTTAGCAATCTGAAGCACCAAAGGCATATTTCTTTTAAAATTTTCAGACACAGGAAGATTTTACAAAACTTCAGCCCAAAGATATATAGAGGAATGAAGTCTATTAACATCCATGTCCTATTTAACTTACCAATTTATTAAGTCAACTAGCTCTGGTAGCATAGTGGCTAAGGCACTTGACTGCTAACCAGAAGGCTGGCGGTTCAAACCCACCAGCCACTCCTCGGAAGGAAGGTTGGGCAATCCTACTTCCGTAGTGATACTGCCTCGGAAACCCAAGGAGGGGTCGCTATGAGTCAGGGCTGACTCGACGGCACATAACAACAACAACAACAACCAATTTTGAAACTGTGAACCTATCCCTTGGATGCTGCAACACTAGTTTTAAATATGTTTTCTTTATGTACTATCTTCAGGTCATGTGATTTTTTTTTTTTTTTTAAATAAGTATCTTAATTTTCATTAATAAAGTCCCCATTCCCAACATTTAAAATGGTCCACTGTGGAATCATTAAACATGATATTATAAAATAATTCTCAAATTTACATGGACAGCTGTGTCTAACATCCTATTAAATGAAGATTATAAAAGGGATATAAACACTATGACCCCTTTTTGAAAAAAATGCACCAACACATTTTTTTAAAAAAGATTCAAAGGCTAGGCACCACAACATTCACAATGGTTATCCCTGGCTGGTGGGCTTGTGGGTGATTTTTCATTTTTCCTTCTATTCTCTAAGTTTTCTATCATGAACATGCTTTGTTTTTTATCATTAAAAAAAAAAAAAAAGCTGATTTCTCTTTTAAAAAATTAAATAGCTATTCCCTTTGAGATGATATAAGACAACAAGTCACCCTAAAACCAAGGCTAGAGAACCCTAATTTTTAACAAGGGATTCAAAGTGTGACCAAGAAATTGCTAGGGTGCAACTGATGGTCCAAGATTAGTGTCGTATGATGATAATGTTTCATAAAATAATACCACCCATGTTGTTCTTGTTGTTAGGTACCATTGATCCATTTCTGACTCATAGTGACCCTATGCACAGCAGAACGAAACACTGCCCGGTCCTGTGCCAGCTTCATGATCTTTGCTAAACCCATGGTCACTCCCAGTAGTACTGGGTCAACTGCCTACTGAAAATAGCAGACATTCTCTCAACGGTGTCTTCTGGAAGGAGGAATTAGTCACTCCACTCAATTCAAAGAGTTTTACCCTGCCTCAACCCAGCTTCAGAGACACACAGAAGGCGAAGATCCATAGGCTCTTTTGCTCACCAAAGTGGACTATATACTCGAAACACCTAAGAGCCACCTTGGAAGAGAGAAGGTTACAAGTGTGACTATTTCAGAGGAGAGGGAGGAGGGAGAAAAGAACTTTTGAGTGTACCAGCCCTCAAACCAAGGAATCTCATTCACCAGCTAGGAACAATTCCTGGTTTATAGAAGGTGGAAGGAAGGCAAAGAAAGGAGGAAGCTGAAGTATGAGAACAAAGACAGAATTCTATGGGTGGGGCTGTCTTGCCATGTTGATTATTGCCAGATGTGATGTCTCGTGTCCAAGGTACTCATCAATGTGACTGAGCAGGACCAGGATCATGGCCAGCTAAGCTATGCCACCAGCAGAGGCCCCCACACACCTGCTGAGCTGTAGAATCCTAGAACTAGAATCAAGTCACTTAAAGAAACGAAGATTGCAGAAGTGAGAAAGCGGTTGTTTTAGAGCCCAATAGATAGGGTAGACTCAAGATTCCTTGATATAGCCACAAATCTGAATGATACTTTGTGGGAAACAGGCTAAGAAAGGAAAAAACTGGAACTAAACTTACTAATTTAACATGGTTTTCTACAGGGTTGGGGATGGGGGACAGAACAGATCCTGAATCTGTAACCAGAGGAGGGAGGATAATGCACCAACTCTATCCACTCTCACAAATGTGGTAAAAATTAACAGTGGACTTCCTCCCCTCCCTCTCCCAGGAGGTACTAGGGAGTGAAATAAACACAGCTACCTCCTACCCTGATTGCCTAAGATCAACAATTATTTGTCTGGAGCAGGTGACTGTTTATAAGGCCCCAAAGAGAAAAAAAAGCTTTATACCTAATATAATAGACTTGTGAGTTTTAGAATAATGGCACCCAAGATCAGGAAGAAACAATCTTCCTTCCCTGGGTGAAATATTTAGAAAGGAAAAATCCTCTGTCTGTAAGTGGCATCCAAATCCACTGCGGTAGTTAAGGTTGTATGTCAACTTGGTTGGGCCTGGTTTTGAGTAGCTGGGCAGCTGGATGTAGTTATTCCCCGTGGTGAGACTGGTACTCAGCTCCAAGATGTAATGATTCACTGTGAGTGATTCACTGTGAGCAGCTGAGTAGCTGCCTTAGGGATGTGGTCTGCTTCCAGTATATAAGACGCTTTGAGAAAGGTTTCTGAGCTTTTTGGCACATCTGGATCTTGCATTTGGCCAAGTCATCAGTGAGTGGCCTGCCATGTTGTCTGCTGATCATGGGACCACTTCTGGACTTGAACAAGTGGCCTGCCGTGCTGCTTGCTAATCTTGGGACTGTGTCATTTTACTTGTCCTTCTGGGGTTTGTCAGCCTCAGGAGCCAGTGGCTGCATGAGTGAGAAAAAGCCTCCCAGCTCTGGGGGGCCTGGAACAGGAGGCAGAGCTGAAGCCCAAGGTCAAGGGGCCTTCACCCAACGCCAAGAGCTGGCACTTTTAACTTAGACTTCTAGCCTCTTAAACAGTAAGAAAATAAATCCCTGTTTGTTCAAGCCAGCTACCGGAGGTATTTCTGTTATAACAGCACTACATAACTGAAACATCCACCCAGATAGCCTAGCTAGTCTTCACGCCTCCAGTTCCCACATTCCTTATACCGGTCACCATGCACTGTTGATCCACCTCTGGAACCATCCATTTCTCCAGTCTGCTTTCATCCTGTCTCCCCAGGAGTTTTTCAACAATCTCTTCCGCCTTCTCAATGGCCTCCTCGACACCTTCCCACCTAGTCCATCTTCCACAGAAGCACAAGAAGGATCCTTCTAAAATAGTTTAGATTGTGACAGGCCCCTCCTTAAAGACTTATTAAGTCTTTGCCTACATATTAAGTCCAAAATCCAACAGCAAACAATACCATTCACAATCTGTGTATTACCTCCCCAGCGTTACCACTGAGCACTCTCCCACATGTGGGACCACACGTATCCTGTCCTCTAACTAAACTGAATCATTCCTCCATTTCCTTCCATTCTTCTGTGTCTATTCTTCCACTATTCTCTCTACCTAAGATGTCCTAGTAGACATCCATCCTTCAGTGGCCACTTGAAATGTCACTTCCTCTTTGAGGTCCAAGCAGAGGATAATAGTGATTACAGCCAACATTTATTGAGCAGTTACTAGGTGCCAGACATTGTATGGAATCTCCTGCATCTAGAACAGTGCTCAACTCAGAAAAAGCCCTCATTTATATATCCCAACAACCTCGTGTAACCTCAATTATTCATTTTTAGCAACAGCTTTCCTGAGATATAACATATATTCTACCCCTTTTACAGGTGAAGAAACCAAGCCACAGAAACAGAAAAGTTAAGAAATGGAATTAAAACCACACAGTTAATTCTAGTGCCCTCCCTTTAACCCGTGTTAATGAGCTTCATACTGATAATGTCTTATAATAATTTGCTTGTTGTTGTTGTTGTTGTTGTTGTTATTTGCCATCGAGTCAGCCCCGACTGATAGTGACCCCTCCTTGGGTTTCCGAGGCAGTATCACTACAGAAGTAGGAATGCCCAACGTTCTTTCCGAGGAGTGGCTGGTGGGTTTGAACTGCCTTCTGGTTAGCAGTCAAGTCTATGCTAAATTTGCTAATGTTTCTTTTTCCACTTGTCTGAGTTTTTCAAGGGCAATAACGTCTCTTAATTTTGAATATCCAGCACCTGGCACCTAATATGCGCCTGGTACATACAGTGAATGAATGAATAGCGTTCAGCAATTATATATGATACCCTTTGGAAAAAAAAAAAAAGTACAAGCGTATTAAAGGAAATCAATGTTCTTGAAAAAAGAAAACTTATGAAGAGTAAAACATAAAGTAATGAAATGTGGGCAAAGCACAAAATAAATCTGGCTCTTGAATAAAACAAAAGCTGCAGGACAGGTGAAGACTAGTGACAGGGGCCATGCAGGTGCAAAACACTCTCTATAAACTATTGGATGGCTGAGGCCTGCAATACAGGAGCAGAAATACGGTGCTACAACAGTCAGTAGCCTGGTGTGTGGAATGTCTGGGTGTGGGGTGCTGGGGTTGGTATGGATGGGGCACAGGCCCAGTAAAAATGAAGAGGAGCCTGGAGACACAGAGAAGACTCAGACAGGGCTGAAAAACTAGAAGGGGCAAGAGATGGCAGAGAGGAGGAATGGTGTGTGCCTTCAGGCAGGGGCGAAAGATTAAAAAAAAAAAAAGTAAAAGGTGACTTCAAATACTTTAGACAAACCAGGCAATAACCAAACATTCGGGAGCGCCTGCTCTATGCCAAGCCTTGTGTCAGATGCCAGGGTGACTGGTGACTCAGTCTCCATCTTCAGGGAGCTCCTAGTAAACAATTACAAAATACAGTAGGAAAGCACAAAGGAAGCATGCCTAGTCCGTCAGGGGAAGCTGACACCTGAGTTTTGAACAATGAGTAGGTAAGGACTGGCAGTTCAAGGGAGGGGACAGCATGTACACAGGCTGGAGGACAAGAGAGACAATGGTGCGCTGCGGTGGGGACTGCAGTTA